CCCCAAACTGCTGCTGGCCCTGCCACGAGCCCCTGGCTGCAGGAGGAGCTAGCCCTGTCCCCCCAGCCCCCCCTGGGCACCCATCAGCTCCTTACCCACTGCTGGATGTCACTCTGAGCCTGGTCAAAGGATTCCTTGAGCTGCACCAGGTCGTTCCTGCACTGGAGCATCTCAGCCTCCTTCTCTGCCCTGAGCTGCTGCTGCAGGCCCTTGCCCTGCTCCATCAGCTGCCGGTGCCACCACTGGGACTGCAGCAGGTCCTTGCGGGTCCTCAGCAGCGCCTTGTAGTAGCTGATGATGTCATCAATGTCACGGAACTGCAGCACAGGTCCTGGGGTCAGGGACACCCTGCCTGGGGTCAGTGACACCCTGCCCTGCCCTGCTTAGGATCAGTGACATCCTGTCCAGCCATCCCTGGGGTCAGGGACACCCTGCCTGGGATCAGGAACACCCTGCCCTACCTTCACCTGTCCTGGTTCTCCTCTCCTGACCCTGCTCCCTGTGACCCACCTTGATTTCCAGGGAGCCCCTCCCAACCCACCTGGAGTCTCTGGGTTTGGTCAGGGGTTGATTTCCCTGGCCTTGCCTCCTCCCTCTGGCTCAAACCCTGAGCCACATCCAAGCTCACCTGTGAATTCTCTACCACATCCTCCAGGTACCTCTTGAATGGAGAGTACATCAGCAATTTTTTGGAGAGTTTCTCGTGCTTTTTTCTCAGGTCATCCAGTTCCCTCCTTGCCCTCAGGAGCTCACTCTCCTTTTTCGAATTCTCCACTTTCTCTTGTTTGGCTTTCTTCAGAGCCTGTGTTCTCAGCCTTTCATTCTCCTGGGGATCAGCACCCAGAGCCAGAGGGGGAGGGAGGCACAGGATGGAGGAGCTGGGTCACTCAGGAGAGCCTCCAGGGAGGAGAGGCCAGCACTGGGGACCACTCCCCTCCCTGTCCCTGTGCCACCCCCCTAGGACTGTCCCTGTGCCACCCCCCTGGCACTGTCCCTGTGTCACCCCCCTCCCTGTCCCTTTGGCCTGGGGCAGCACCTGGGCCGGGCTGTGCCTTCCAGACAATCCCTCTCCCACCAGGGCACAAATCCCTGCTCCCCACAGCTCAGGGGAGCCTTGGCCTTGACGGGGAGTGCTGAGCCAAGGCTCCTCCCAGGGGAGAGGAGTCAGTGAGCAGGGGCAGTGTGCCAGCTGTGCCAGGTGTGCCAGTAGTATCAGGTGTGCCAGGTGTGCTACATATTCCACGTATTCCAGGTGTGCCAGGTGTATCAGGTGTGCTACATGTTCCAGGTGTATGAAGTGTGCCAGGAGCATGAGGTATGCCAGGTGTGCCAGGTGTATCAGGTGTGCCAGGAGTGCCAGGGGTGCCAGGAGTGTCAGGTGTGCCAGGTGTGCCACCTGTACCTTCACAGTGGCCCCAGATGTCACCACGTGGGCTTTCAGCTGGGCCCTCCTGGCATGCAGGTCCCTCCACTGCTCAGCGAGGGTCTTCATCCTCTCTGCGAAGGCCTGGCAGCACCAGAGCTGGGGTGACAAGGCTGCCACAGCCAGAGCCACTCCCCGCCTGCCCTGCCACCCTGCAAAGCCCCCCAGGCACGTCCTAGCCTCCTCACCTCCTCTGTCTCCTCCACAACCTTCTCCATCTGCCGCACCTCCTTCATCTTCTTCAGCACGCAGATGAAGGAGTTGGTGGAGTCCTCCTCGGCTTCCTGCAGCTCCCTGCCACGCATGTCCCCAGCTCACACGGCACCCTGGCAGGCTGCTCCGGAGCTGGGCTGTGTCCTGGGGGCAGGCAGGACCCCAGCCCCACCTCGGAACCCCCAGCCCTCCCTGCAGGGACCCCCAGAACAGCCGGGGCAAGGCAGGAGGTAACAGGGCAGGGACAGGAGCAGGTGAGGGATGGGAGCAGGGAAAGGAGAGGTGCAGGTAAGGGACAGGAACAGGTAAGGGGCAGGAGCAGGTGAGGGATAGGAGCGGGGCAGGGATGCGAGCTTGGCACGGCAGGGAAGGGATGGAGCTTGGCAAGGCAGGGAAGGAGCCATGGAGACATGGGGGGAGGCTGGAGGAGCCCTGACCTGAGCAGGGACAGGAGCCTGTCCTTGTACTGCCCCCGGTAATAGGTCAGGTCCTCGTGGGCCATGGCTGCGGC